TCTTCTGGCCTGCAGACACACACACAGACAGAATATTGTATACATAATAAATAAATAAATAATTTAAAATAAATAATAAAAATAAATAAATAAAACCATCAAAGAAAGAAAGTCAGCTGAGTGTGTTAGTATGAGCCTGTAATCCCTATAATCCCAGCACTCAGGAGGCTAAGGGAAGAGGACCGGAAGGTCAGGGCCAGGCCGGGTTACACAGCCGGGGTAGGGATGGAACTCATTTGACAGCATGCACGAAGCCCTGGCTTTGACCCCAGCCCAGGCATAGTGGTGCACCATTCTAGTCGGTGGGCATGAGGGAACCAGTTCATGGTCCTCCTTCGCTAGATCTATCTGAGACCTAGGCTACTGAGACCCTGTCTCAGAAAACAAACAAGTGAAAATAACATGGATAGCCAAACTCAGAATGCTATCCCACCCTTTTCTCCTGGGGCCTTTCAGGTTTACCCTTTTAGAAAAGAGGCTGAGCAGAAAAGGGGCTTCGGAACGGATGACAGAAATGACCCTTTCAGGTGGAGGCGATCTAGCAAGACTGTCTTCTGAAGAGCCCACGGGCACCAGCTCTCTAAAGTGCTTTCTGCCTCCCTCAGGGCACAGTGTTTGGCCCCCACCAGGCACCCTCTGGAGCATCCAAGTCTGGCCTCTTCCTTTCCTCCCCCACCCCTGGGTCCTGAGAAAACTCCCAGTCACCTGGATAAACCACGATGCAGATCAGCAACAGCACCATGGCCATGTCTCCAGATGGCGAGGCGGACCTCAGCAGTGCACTCTAAAAGGGGAAGAATGACCTGCTACCCGAAGTGAAGCCTAGCACAAGCAGGGCTGGCATATGGCTTGCCAAGGACCCGCACGGCTCGGGGCTTTCGGCATCGTATGGTGTCCTGGCGAGGAGGGAGATGGCATTGGTGGAGGTGCCGGAGCTCTCTGGAGGCAGCTAGTGGTCAGGTGGTGTACCAGGACAGGATGTCCTCCCATCAGACTTTACAAGAGGGGGTGGGTGAGACCAGGATGTGGGTCTCTCACCTTCTGAGGTTTAAGACCATTTCACCCAGAACAAACCTCCAGCCAAGAAGTTAGCCCTCCTCCTTGCCCCCTTTGCTCAGCCATGCCCAGGCCCGCTGTCTCCATGCCTCCTCAGTCTGGCTTTTTCCCTCTGGGCTCCCCTAGGATTTCTATAACTGGAACAGGGGGGAGGTTAGGGGAGCAAGCAGGGGGGAGGTTAGGGGAGCAAGCGAATTGGTGGCGGTGGGTGTGAGGTTACCGCGGACTGTGTCTGGAAGCTTCATGTGTACAAGTGGCCCATTCTCCAGCCGTGCTGACAGAGGAAGCGTCCCGTGTACAAGTGGCCGATTCTCCAGCTGTGCTGACAGAGGAAGCGTCCCGTGTACAAGTGGCCGATTCTCCAGCCGTGCTGACAGAGGAAGCGTCCTGTGTACAAGTGGCCCATTCTCCAGCCGTGCTGACAGAGAAAGCGTCACGTGTACAAGTGGCCCATTCTCCAGCCGTGCTGACGGAGGACTAACTGCTGTTAATGGATATGTTTGGCTCATTCGTTTTCACGTTTCCTGGAAAGGGACATTCCCTGCAGGTCTGCTTTCCTGTGACCGCTACACAGACTTACCCACTGGGAAATCCAGTCATTTGTCATTTTATTGACGGTTTAACCACATTTATTGGGAACCTACAAAATGCCCATATGTGTTTCACAGGCACAACACGGACATCTTGTTACCTATAACTGAGGTCACACGGTGCCAGTATTCCCTGGAGTGTACTTCACAGACCCACAGATGGCACGGGACCGGGAGGAGAGGCCGTGTAGTATGCTGGCAAACGTGGGTCCAGCCTCGCCATCCACTCTCTGGCTCCCTTTGTTTTCTTAATTTTTTTTTTTTTTTTTTTTTTTTTTTTTTTTTTGAGACAGGGTTTCTCTGTAGCTTTGGTGCCTGTCCTGGAGCTAGCTCTTGTAGACCAGGCTGGCCTCGAACTCACAAAGATCCGCCCGCCTCTGCCTCCTGAGTGCTGGGATTAAAGGCGTGCGCCACCACCGCCCGGCTCTTAAAATTTTTATTGTGTTGCCAGGCAGTGGTGGTGCACACCTCTAATCCCAGTAATCAGGAGGCAGAGGCTGGTAGATCTCTGTGAGTTCAAGGCCAGCCAGGGCTACATAGAGAAACTCTGTCTTGAAAAACCAAAGAAGAAAAAGTGGCTTGGAGATCTTTCGGAGCTCTCTCCCAAACTGCTTGGCCACCTGGATAACCACACATGTCACCCAATCTGGGAAGGACGCACTGGGTCATCTGGCCAAGCGGAGCTGTGGAGGAGCCTCCCTGCTATGGGAGACCCAGGTGCCGAGAGCAGTTGTGTGCTGCCCCCTGCTGGCTGCAGAGCCTGGGATGGAGGCACTTAGGCTATTCTCCACAGAGCCTCAATACCCTGTTCTCTTCATTCCCAGCCCAGAGTCAGTGTGGAGAATACTGTCTTCTTTGCCACAAGACCATGGTTTGGGAAGGGAGGGGAGGTACAACGGCCCTTTGACTTGAGATGAAAGTTGCATTTTCTATCGTTTCCCTTAAGTTTTATTTTTATGTGTAAGGGTGTTTTGTCTGAACTTATGTCAGGCTTCCACGTGTGTGCCAGATGCCCACAGAGACCAGAAGAGGGCACAAGATGCCCTGGGGTTGGAGTTACAGGGGGTTGTGAGGTACCATGTGGGCTCTGGGAGTTGAACCTGGGTCCTTTGGAAAAGCAGCAGGTTTCCTAAGTGTTAAACTGTCCACCCAGACCTCAGACTGTGTCTTCGCAGCGCTCACTCAGACACAGGGCAGCAGTTCATGACTCAGGAATGACGGTTTACGGGTCAAGCTGTTCTGAACTGCACTCTGCATCGACTACTTGTGTGCACAGAACCAAAGCCATGAACTTCCAGACTCCCCCAGGCTAGCTACTTGATTTACATAGGTCTCTTTCCTCCCTCTAGGGCTGGGGTGACCCAGGAGATAGCTGAGCCTAAACATAAGGGGGCTCTGCTCCCCCCTTCTCTTCCGCCAAGGCTTCCGGCCCTTTGCCATGGCTATGGACTCTGGAGACATTACCTGAATGTTTTGTTCATTAGTTCATGTCTTATCAGGGTTACTATTGCTGTCATGAAACACCATGACCAAGGGAAACTTAGGAAGGAAGACTTTATCTGGCTTACACCTCCACATCACTGTTCATGATCCAGGGAAGTTAAGACAGGAACTCACACAGGGTGGGATGCTGGAGGCAGGAGCCGAGGCAGAGGCCTTGGAGGGTGCTGCTTACTGGCTTGCTCCCCATTGCTTGCTCAGCTTGCTTTCCTACAGAACCCGGGATCACCAGCCCAGGATGGCGCCACCCACCATGGGCTGGACTCCCCTATCAATCATTGTTAAGAAAAAGCCCCAGAGGCTTGCCTGCCTACAGGTTGATCTTCTGCAGGGATTTTCTAAGCTCAGGTTCCCTTCTCTCAGATGATTTTTGCTTGTGTCAAGTTGACATAAAACTATCCAGGGCAGCAGGATGGTGGTGGCGCACACCTTTAATCCTAGCACTTGGGAGGCAGAGGCAGGTGGATCTCTGTGAGTTCGAGGCCAGCCTGAGCTACAGAGTTCCAGGCCAGGCTCCAAAGCGACACAGAGAAACCCTGTCTTGAAAAACCAAAAACCAAACCAAACAAATAAAAACAAAAATCAACAACTATCCAGGGCAGCTCATCTAGAATAAACCATGGGTGTGTGTGTATCCAAGAACAATTTTTACTATCTCTGAGACTTTCTAAGGACTTTAATAGTATTTATTTGTTTGTTTGTTTGAGACAGGGTCCTAACCATGTAGTTCTTACTTGGCCTATAGACCAGACTGGCCTTCAACTCACAGAGAGCACAGAACTCCACCTGCCTCTGATTCCTGACAGCTGAGATTAAAGGTGTGTGCCGCCACCACCACCCAGCTGTCAATTTGATATTTTAATTAATTAAGACACATCTCACTCTGCAGCCCAGGACACTTGAAACTTAAGTATATAGACCAGGTTAGCCTCAAATTTCCAGCAACCTTTTGAATTAAAAAATGAGTTCTTGGGGTTAGAGAGATAGCTCAGTCCTAAGAGCACTGGCTGTTCTTCTGAAGGACCTGGGTGATCCACGGCGGCTCACACCCTCATGTAGCTCCTGCTTCGGGGTATCTGATGTCCTCAGTCAGCCTCTAGAACAGATGTGCCACACAGACAGACACACAGACAGCCAGACACGCAGGCAAAGCCCCACACACAGTTTAAAAAAATGTATTTGTCAAACTGAGCAATGGTGCTCTGTCCTGTGTGTCTTTACTAAAACTGATCTTCAATGTCAGACATGGGAGAACCGACTCCAAGTCACAGCACTTGGGGGCTGAGGTGGGAGGATTGGTTGCTCAAGGTCAGCTTCCGGGCAGCTTGAGCGGCGTGAGTCCTGTCTCGAGAGGATGGAAAGAGAAAAGGCTGACGGCTTTCCCGTCACACCAACTGAGATCCACCCAAGGGCTTCAGAGACTGCGGAGAAACCTCGGCGGAGCAGGTGTCTAAAGAGGAGTGCTGGTCTTGGAGGAGGTTTGGGCCACTGTGGAAATGAAGCCACGGCGACAGACACGCAGTGTCCTCCATCCTACTGTCTTCCTGTGGCCTGCACCGGGCAGCCTCCCTAGCAAAGAGCAGAGCTGGAGAGATAATGAAGACCAGTGGAAGATCCTCAGGGAGCTACACACACGCGCGCACGCACGGACGTGCACACGTGCGCGCGCACACACGCATGGACACATACACGCACACGCACGTGCACACGTACGTAGGCACGCACGCACGCACCTTGCACTTTCTGACCAGTGCGTTCTTTTCCAGGCAGCATAGTCAACAGTCCTGGGGCCTAACACTAGACTTTCCCCTTGGAGAGCCCTAACAAAGGCCCTTAGCAACAGAGCGCCCTTAGCAACAGAGGGCCCTCAGCAACAGAGGGCCCTCAGCAACAGAGGTCTCTAACCTCACAGGGTTCTAACAGATCCTTCACCATCTCCATCTTTTCTGGTACATTCTGTTTTGGAGGTTTTCTCTTCGTTTTATTTATTCTTTGTGTGTGTGTGTGAGAGAGGGCATGCCTGGAGGGGTCAGAGGTTAATTTGCGGAGGTTTGTTCTTTCCTTCCTTCCGCCAGGCAGGTTTTAGGCTTCCCACTCAGGCTTTGGAGCTTGGCAGCCCTGTAACTCTCTGAGCCATTTCTCTTGCCCTTGCTTTCGTTTCCAGAGCAAGTCCCAGGCTGGCCTAGAACTCTTTTAAGGCTTCTTCCCTCAACCTTTGACACTCCCGACTCAGCCTCCTTGGTGCTGGGAAATACAACCTGCACCTCGGCTAGCTTTTTAAAAATCCCTTTAATCTTTCGTTACATGCCCCGCCCCCAAGCTTTCGTCCAGCTCCATCTGCACCTGACCTCTGAGCCGCGGTGTGCATACTCCAGCCAGGCTGACTGCTCTTGCTTCAAGGCCTGAATTTGCTGCTCCTCATAGTCTTCCCCATATTACACTAAGATATACAACCTCCAATACCCCTGCTATCTCCTAAGTGACAATGGTTTAAAAGGCACCTTCTGTGTTTTATAACAAGACTCTTTCAATTGGGCTTATGTTAATAGGGAAACTTCTGGAAAGTCCCTAAAGGGAGAAGTCTTGTTGACAAGGGCAGGGATGGGTAAGGAGCTATATAACTTTAAACTCAACTTGTCCTTAGCCAATAGCTAATGATTTAATGGCTCATCCCAGCATGATGACTTGTCCTTAATACCCCAAAAGATTGGGGTCAGAGAGCTGTCAGGGAGGGTGGTGCCCAAGGGCATGGAAGCGCCAGACCATCTCCCCAGGACCTTGTCTCATCTGTTCCCTCTGGGTCACTGCTGGGTACTCTGTAAGGAACCAGCACGTGTGGGCAAGGTTCTCAACCTCAGCCCTGGGAGCCGGTCTGGCCAGTGACCAAAGCAGAAGAGGGGTGTATAGTATTCTTGATTTATATAGCTGTCTGTCCAGAAATACAAGAGGCCTGGTCTCAAGGCCCACATCTTAACCTGGAGGGGTCTTGTTGGATAGAGCCCCTTCACATGGAGGCCTGGCAGGCAGTGTCAGACATGAATTACACTGTCGGAACTCATTGGTGTGGGAAGAACCTTCCCATGAGGTGCTAACTGCTGGATCCAACTCCTGCACGCTGTTTGACCTCCACATACATCCTGAGGCACGTGTGTCTGCACACAGACACATCAACTAATTAGAAGAATCAAAAGAAAAACAGCGTGTTTCTTATCCACGTATCTCTTGCATCCCTGAGAGTCAGTTTCTCGGAGGCATCTCCCCCGACGGTGACATGGAGGTCGGATCTACCCTCTACACGGAGCTCTGTAGACCGCAGGAACAGACTTCTCATTTGCTGGTTCACCAGGCCTAGCACTGCTGCATGAACACGACTAGAAAAGTGTCCCCGCCAGACACTGAGCGTGCTGGAGGGCAGGTTTGCATTGCTCTCTGCAGGGGGAGAGGCCACTATCTCCCCACCACCTGGTCAAGGAGAAGCAGAGTGGATCCTGCCTGCAGTGGAAGGAAAGACAGCCTGGGGAGGAGAGAGCAAGAGCCAAGGGGTCAGAGTGAATTAGAGGCAAAGCCCCGGCCTCCCTTGGTGACCCAGTAACTGAATGAGAAAAACTATTCCTGGGGAGGGCATTTCCGTGAGGGTTAGATGCTGCTAGCCCGTGGCCCCGTGGCGGGGTGGGACCCATTCGGTCTGCTGTCCTCTCAGCCTCACTTTCTGCCCTCCCAGAACATCTCCCTAAACACTCCTATGCCTTTGTATTCTCTACTAATGATTTCAAAGTAGGTGAGGCAGGAGGGCAGTGCTGCAGATCCTGAAGCGCACAAACCGAAGTCCTGGAACACGTTTCCACGTGTCCCAATGCTCCTCTGGAGCCTGAGAGAGACATCTTTCTTTTTCCAGACCCTGGCCTCAGCTCACCCCACTCCTGGGTCGGACTGCAGCCTTCAGCTTCTCTCCTGCACACGGGAGAGAGCCAGTCAGCTCTCCTCAGCTGTATGTCTTGACCTGCATCATGAAGCCTGAGGAAATTTCAAGTAAACCCCACCCCCACCCCACTCCCCAGTATCTGGGAAAAGCCACTGTTTCTCTCTTCTTTGGCTCTGGTTTTCATTTAAGACAGGTTCCTACTGTGTAGGCCAGGCTGGTCTCCAACTCCCAGGATCCTCCAGCCTCTACTTCTCAGGTGCTGGGATTGCAGGCCTGGGGTACCATGCTTGGTCCCCTCAGATCCCTCCAGGAGCTGGCCAGTCTTTACCCCATGGAGGAACTGTGTGGAGCAGGGCTGCAGGTCCAGCCATTTGGGAGGCCGAGGCAGGACGGCTGCCTAAACTTGGGTATCTGGACATGTGAGACCCTGCCAAAAAAAAAAAAAAAAGAAAAGAAAAGAAAAGAAAAAAGAAAAAAAAAAGCAATTTACCAACGTGTTATTTTAAACCCTCTCTGCCTTCCTTTTTTACTTACGAGGTCTAGTGTCAGCAGAAGTGATGGGGAAGTGATGCCTGGGAGCTAGCAGAGGAGGGAATGAGTAGAAAGGGGAAGTAGGAGAGAGGAGACTGGTGGAGAGACAGAGAGACCGGCAGACTGGTCATCTCTCACCTAACGCCACCAGCACCTGCTGAGCTATGAGCCAAAGCAGGAATTTGCAGGGTAGGGTAGGTGGACCACATAGCATCAGGAGCCAGGAACTGGGGTGGGTCAGACCTGGGCTGGGGAGCCAGGAAGGCTGCTGAAGGATCTCAGAGAGCAGAACTTGGGTAACCCTTGGGATGGGCATGGGAGGCAGGAAAGGGAGGGAGGGGTGGTTAACCTCTGTGTCCCTCAGGAGGAAAAGCTTTTGGACTGCTGAAGGCCCAGCAGGAGGAGGGGCTGGATGAGATCAACAAGGTAAGAGAAATAAGGAAGAGGGTAGAGTCTGGAGGCTTCCCCGGGCCGAGAGGGATGACCCGGGCTCTGATCTGCCAACAGCAATTCCTGGACAATCCCAAATACAGCGGTGATGAGGACCTGCCCTCCAAACTGGAAGCCTTCAAGAGTGAGGAGACGTGTGGGTGGAGAGGGAATTTGGGGCCAGGGGTGTTGGGGGACATGGTGGTTCTCAAGACCTCGGCAAGGCCAGCAAGATCAGTTGTTTTTTGTGGTGGAAGAGGGGCCCACTTGAGGTCCTTCTCCCTGCTCATCCATCTTACACCCCTATAGGTTCCCTCCACCTTCACAGGGCCTCGCGATCCCCACTTCCTCTGCCTGCCCCTCCTCCTCCTTCCACATCTCCTACACTACCCTAACATTGGTTAATTGCCTCTTCCTTAAACCCTCATAACCAGCATTTTTTTTTAACCTAGAGAAGTACATGGAGTTTGATCTGAATGGAAATGGAGATATTGGTGAGGAAAAAGGGGTGTGGGGGGGGAGTGTGCAGACCTAGGCAAGCAGAGGTCTCTTCTGCCTGCCCTGTCTCCTGTGGACAGGCAAAGGTCCAGCCACAATTAATAATACAAAGAAGGGTCAGGGATGGGTGCAGAGAGAGGGGAACCCTCCTTTTCCACCTTGATTTTCCACCTTCAGATATTATGTCCTTGAAGCGAATGCTGGAGAAACTCGGGGTCCCCAAGACCCACCTAGAGCTAAAGAAATTAATTAGAGAGGTGTCCAGCGGCTCCGAGGAGACGTTCAGCTACTCCGACTTCCTCACCATGATGCTGGGGAAGCGATCCGCCATCCTGAGAGTGTGAGCATCCAGTTCCAACCCCCCTGAACTCCCTGTCTTCTCCGTCCCCAGCCCTAACCTTGTTCCCAACAGCCACCCTTCCTTCTCAGATGGACTCTCACAAGATCCTTCACTGTCCCCACCTGTCCGCAGCTCTGGTCCCCACAGCCCCCACCTGTCCGCAGCTCTGGTCCCCACAGCCCCCACCTGTCCACAGCTCTGGTCCCCACTGTCCCCACCTGTCTGCAGCTCTGGTCCCCGTGGTCCCCACCCTGTCCACAGCTCTGGTCCCCGTGGTCCCCACCCTGTCCACAGCTCTGGTCCCCGTGGTCCCCACCCTGTCCGCAGCTCTGGTCCCCGCTGTCCCCAGCACTGCTTTCCTGCTCTTATTCTTCCCCCTTCTGAACTCTTAGGACACCTCAGATTTACTCCTCTGAGAGATGTGTCCTGATGCCCGTGTCTCTTCCAGGATTCTGATGTATGAGGAAAAAAGCAAAGAACACCAGAAGCCAACTGGTCCCCCAGCCAAGAAAGCCATTTCTGAGTTGCCCTAATTGGAGGTGGATGTGGTGCCACTGAAGGGGTGGCTGATGACGGCAGCATGGGGGGATAAAAGAAGAAGCTGTGAGCCAGAGTCAAAATAAATAAATAACGTTCCCCTCCCAGCTCAAGTCAGCTCCGCTTTTATTGGGGGGGGCACCTGGCTTGGATCTGGGGAGGAAGGAAGCGTCTTTGCCCCAAAGTCTATCCATCCAGTATGGAGTGGGTTTGCCGTAGCAGACTACTCTTTGGACTGAGGGAGATTCCAGACTTCCAACACAACTTTATGCTCAAAGAATAGAGGTTACACACCTGGTGGTGGTGGCGCACGTCTTTAATCCCATCACTTGGGAGGCAGAGGCAGGTGGATCTCTGTGAGTTCAAAGCCAGCCTGGTCTACAGAGAAGTGCCAGGACAGTCAGGACTACAACAGAAACCCTGTCTTGAATAAAAACAACAAAGCAAGAAGTGACGCTAACCTTGACCGAGTCTTCACCTCCACCTTGGTGACTCCAACAAATCACAGTCTCTCAGCCTTTGCTTTGAAAATGGGACTGAGTAAGAAAAGGAGCTAAACTGTTTTTTGATCCAGTGTAAAAGAGATACAGAACCAAGCAGTGGTGACTCACACCTTTAATCCCAGTATTTAGGCATCACATACCTTTAATCCCAGCACTAAGGAGGTGGAGACAGGAAGGGATATAGCTGGGCAGAGAGAGGAATATAAGGCCGGAGGAGACAGGAGCTCACATCACTCAGGCTGAGGATTCATAGACACAGCATCACCCATTCCGTCCGAGGATTTGGTAGAGGCAAGAACTAGTGACTGGCTGCTCTGGTTTTCTACCTCTCAGTTTTTACTCCTTATATCTTACTCGGGGGTTTTTATTATTAAAACCAATTAGACTTCACACTACACCCAGTTCAGATTAATTCATTCTTTGTTCCTTCCTTCAAGGCTAGGTTGAAGCCAGGGCTTCCCCATACTGAGAAAACACTCTATCGCTGAAATATATCCCCAACTCAGGTTTCTTTACACCCTGAAAAAGCATTTCCAATACATCAGCCGCAGCATGCAAAGCTTCCCAGAGGTTCTTCCCAGTGGCGAAACAAGGGAGATACCCTTTTCAGTAATTCCCATAGAGGGATCCAGTAACAGCAAAACTTCAGTGAGGGGTGGAGGGCTAGAGAGGGGCTCAGCAGTTAAGAGCATATACTGCTCTCGAAGACCAGAGGCCTGGCATACACGAGTCTTTGAGTTCAATCCCTAGACCAAAAATAAAAAGACCCGAAGACCCGAATTTGGTTCCTCACACTGTAGAGCTCAGGGAGTCCTGTTCCGGAGGTTCTGGTGTCTTCCGCTGTCTGTGGGCACTGCACTCATGCACCCCCACACACATATACACACAATTGAAACAAAAAGAATAAGCCGGGCATGGGTGGTGTACACCTTTAATCCCTCAGGAGGCAAGGGCAGGTATAGCTTCTGTGGGTTTGGGGCCAGTCTGGTCTATATAGTGAGTTCCAGGATGATGAAGTAGCTCAAACGTATACTACACACACACATACACACACACATTTTATTTGGTGCTGGGAATTAAACTGAGGAACTCCAGCACATTCTTTATCACAATGCTACACTTCTAAGGCTAAAATTCTTTAAAATTAATTTTTGATTGTGTATGTGTGTGTGCGCACACGAGTGTCTAGGACACCAAAGGCTGGAGCTACAGGAGGTTTGTGAGCCACCTGACTGGGTGCTGGGAACTGAGCTCTGGACCTTTGTAAGATCAGTCCCACTCAAAAGGCTGTCATTGCTCCAGGGCCCAACCCGCTTCTCTCCCTCCCTCCAAGGTTTCAATTTGTAATGTATGCTGGCCTGTTGTGGAATACTTTTTTAAGGTGTGTTACTTTTATTTATGCTGTGAATAGTTTGTTTAATGATGTAAAGATGTGTTGCTTTTGTTTATGTGGCATTTGTTTAACTCTGTGAAGCTGTGACTGCCTAAAACACCTGATGGTCCTAATAAAGAGCTGATTAGCCAATAGCGAGGCAGGAGCAAGGATGGGCGGGGTTGGCAGACAGAGAGGATAAATAGGAGGAGGACTCTAGCGAAAAGGAGCAAGAGAACAAGAAGAGGAGGATCCTAGGGGCCAGCCAGCCAGCCAGCCAGGGAGTAAGGGTGAAAGTAAGATACGCAGAATTAAGAGAAGGGTAAAAGCTCAGAGGCAAAAGGTAGTCGGGAATAATTGAAATCAAGAAAAGTTGGCAAGAAATAAACCAATCTAAGGTTGGGCATTTATAAGTAAGAATAAGCCTCCAGGGGGCTGGAGAGATGGCTCAGCGGTTAAGAGCACTGACTGCTCTTCCAGAGGACCCAGGTTCAATTCCCAGCACCCACATGGCAGCTCACAACTGTCTGAAAATCCAGTTCACGGGATCTGAAACCTTCACACCAATGCACATAAAACAAAGTTAAATAAATCATAAAAAAAAGAATAAGCCTCCATGTATGACTTATCTGGGAGCTGGGTGGCAGGCCCCCCAAAAGAGTAAAAGTAAAAACAACACTTGGTGGCGGTGCAATGTGGGGTTAGAGAAAAAGAAAATCCAACAACATTGGCTCAGACTCACTAGCACAGGCTGGCCTCAAACTCATGAAAGCTCTCTCTGCTTCAGTCTGGAAGCGCTGGGATTGTGGTACCAACCAGCAGTCCTTTTGTTCTACCTAGATAATTATTAGCTGGCAGAAGCCCTTTTAGTACAGGGTTTGGCTGATTTTGTCTCACTCCTTGCTGTTAGCAAGTGGCGCCCTCTAGTGCAAAGCTCTCATGTGGCTCCTGTGTAGGCAGGGATAGGAATCGGGATTCTTCACTCTTCCCAACACCTGGAATTACAGCTTCCTGGCAGACGAGCCTAGGATCCACCAGTTCTTGAGACCAGGCAGCATTACAGCTGTTGGCAAGGGGTGTCCAGGACCCATCCTGAAAACCTGACAACTCTGGAACTCTTACAGCAACTGGGCTGAAGAAGTTTCTCCTCTCTGGTTCATTCATTCATTTACTTATTTATGTTTTGTTTTTTGAGACAAGGTTTCTCTGTGTAGCCCTGACTGTCCTGGAACTCACTCTGTAGACCAGGCTGGCTTTGAACTCGTAGAGATCCGCCTGCCTCTGCCTCCCCGGTGCTGGGATTAAACACGTGCGCCACCACCACCCACTCCATATATGAATGTTTTGTCCCCTCGTAGTCTGTGCACCACATATGTGCCTGGAGGCCAGAAGAGGGCACTGGACCCCCTGGAACTGGACTTACAGACTGCTGTGAGCCACCATGTGGGTGCTGAGAGTTGAACCCTGGTCCTTCATAAGAGTGTGGCAGGTGTTCTTAACTTCTGAGACATCTTCCCAGCTTTTCTTTTTCTTTCTTTCTTTCTTTCTTTCTTTTTTCTTTTTCTTTTTTGAGGCAGCATCTTACTATGTACCAGCCTGGCCTGGAACTTACAAAGATCTGCCTGCCTCTGCTGGGATTCATGGGGTGTGTCACCAGCTCCTCTCTGCTTGGCTACAGATTCCTATCCTTTGGTCTCCGCTCTCCATCCTTTATCCTTGTCCCTGGCTACACGCTCCCTCACGCTCCCTCACGCTCCCTCAGACTGATCCGCTGCTCCTCTTCGGTTGTCAGGCAGCTTGCCTCTGCCACCTTGGTGCTGTTCACACTGCCAGCTCAGCCCACACTACTGAAAGCGGCAAGAGATCACCAGAGAGGCGTCTAATTGGGCCCTGTTCTAGCACCGAGGGAGGCAGCACAGGAGGCTGCACAGGCAGCTCAAGGGAGCCAACCGTCTCTGGACATCCCTGGGGTGGGCTACCACCACTCACAGCAGAGCTCCCATGGAAATGCTGGAGCTGTAAAACTCCCCACCAGGCCACATGGAAATGGCGGAAGATCATCTAGAATTCACGAATGCCTGTGAGAGCAGAACGGTCAATGCAAACCATCTGAGCTGTGCCTTCAGGGGCTGGAGCTCAAACCGCATTATTGTTTCTTCAACACTGTGGAGTGTTCAAAAGAAAGGACGTGGGGCAAAGTGGTCTGGCAAGCTTCTAACAGACCTCGCTCTCCAGGAAGCCTGGGAAGGCAGGGAGAACCCAACAAGTGCCACTGGGGAGGCAAATTGTTCCATGTTCCAGCGTCTTTGCTTGTGTACAGGAAGTGAGGAGAAGGGGTGCTTACAATAAAACTTAAAGAACTTATTGTAAGCACTTAATTCAAACAGTGGTTAGCACCCAGTGCCCCAAGTAGGGTGTTTAAAGATTACAAGCATGTGTTCATTCTTAACTGTGCCCTGCTAACTTTTTGTCTTCACTGTCTGCATTGGACAAGTGATTCCTTTACTTACCTACATCAGCTAGGCACAGGCCTGCAGACCTTTGTATAGATGTTTGTCTTTGTTTAGAGTGTTGGTTACAAGTTGTTATGATGATGGTCAGGAATAAAGCTAAACAAAGGAGAATACATTCAGAGTGTTTGTTTTGAAAAGAAAAAAAGGGGGGAAATGCTGTAAATATTTGTCAGTTGTATTGGTTTAATATAATGCTGATTGGCCAGTAGCCAGGCAGAAAGTGTGTGGGGGGGTACCTGAACAGGGGAATTCTGGGAAGAGAAAAGCTCAGTCTGTAGTCATGATCCAGACGCAGAGGAAGCAGGATGAGAATGCCTCACTGATAAAGACACAATCCACATGACTAACACAGACAAGAATTATGGGTTACTGTAAGATGTAAGGATTAGTTAATAAGAAAGCCTGAGCTAATAAGCACACCAGTTTATAATTAATGTAGACCACTGTGTGTTTCTTTGGGACTGAATGGCTGTGGGACTGGGTGGGACAGAAACCTCTGTCAACACCTCTGCTTATCTACATCAGCTAGAGAGAGAGAGAGATGTTGGTGCTAATGGAGGCCAGAGGACAACCCTGGCTGGCTGTCATCCCTCAAATGATGTCCACCAGGCTAGGCTGGCAGGCAGTGAGCCCCAGGGGATCCACCTGTCCCGGCCTCTGCAGCACTGGGATCCCAAGTGGATGCCAAGTTCTATGTTTCCACCTCCCCCTCTTGTTTC